GCCAAGTAATAGACACAGCAGAAAGGGTTGGAACCATTGGCCACTTGCGCACTAGGCCCTATATCAAAAACATCTATATGTTTATATGTGTCTGCCAACTGTTCGTTTCTTCACCGGGTTTGCCAGTAAATCGCCACTTTTTTTGTAACATCATCACCATCAGGTGCCTTGCCAGCTGTCGTAGGCGTTCATGCATTCCCACAGATCTCGGCCTTTGGTGTTCTGGGTCAATTCCACTGATGATATTCTTCCAGCCACTGATTTAAGCCATCCACCATTATTTCTCTTGGTCTGCCTCTTCTACCAGTGATCTTTCCAGTCGTCACGATATTTTCCAGTTTTCCTTTTCTCGTTACACGACCAAAGAATTTTGTTTGTCTCCTTCTCATTGTTGAATGTAATGATCTACGTTCATTAGCCATTTCAGGCACTCAGTGTTAGTTATTGTGTCAGTCCAAGGTATTCGCAACATTATCCTCAAAAACCACATCTCAGTTGCCTTCACACTCTTCCTAATTTATTTTGCTCACATTACAAGATTCACAACCATACAACAGAACTCGATAAAACATTCTGCTCTTAATTTAGGTCACACATTGCCCATTTACTGTACAATTGCATTAATTTGACATTTAGTGCAGAATAACAACTTCAATAACGATGATTATTATTGTGCACTCAAAATAGGCTTATGTCCCTTGAGCCTATTGAAAATCTGCAAGAGGTGGGAAAAGGGGGGGGGGGGGGAGCACGTAACATACCCTAATAGTTTTCTGAGTCCTATTCACGATTCCCGGCCCATCAAGACACTGGCTGACCTTTCATTCAGACTTTCTCAGACTGTTTTACGTCAAAAGGGTGTCACGTTGTCTTGCTTCCAGTTACATCAGCGCAGATGTCGCGTGTTCTATACTACACGACAACACAGCTTTTAATGACCCCGGAACATCTAGAACTGGCCCTAACCTAGACCCCCCCGCCCCCTCCAGACCCCCTCCCCGCCCCCTCCCACGCCCCCCCCCCCCACACACACATCCTGAGCCTGTCCCACGAGAGACTCTTCGAAAAAAAAAACAGAACAGCGTTACACCCCTTTGACCTAGACGAGACTGAGAAAGTGTGTAGACGGGCCGGGAAACGTGAACAGGCCCTTTTTTGTGTGTGTGTAAAAGCACCACACACAACTAATAAATGCCCACGTGAGAAGTCAAAACAATGCCTTTCGAGAATGTCGCCAACGCTAAACAAAGGTCACCAACTGTGTACCCAGAAAATCTCGAGACCAGCAAGATAAAAGACACTTAAGAAGCTTAGTAGAGAAAGCAAGCAGTAGCCATGGTGAATACACGTCCACTTCCGTTTGTAGATGTCGTAATGACCGTAAGCACCATACGGTGTCCTTGTTTGGGTATGGCTGTAAGTTCATACACGTGTGCTCAGCCCGTGCTCAAAGGGGCCGCGTTAGCGCAGTCGGCTATCCTCTGAATATCGGTCCCAAATTATCGAAACTAAGAAAATACCCTAACAGGGCCTCAGTCATATGTAATTTGCGGACCTCTTTCCGGCGACTATACCGCCACTCCCGAAAGAAACCCCCGCGGCCCGTAAAAGGGGGGGGGGGGGGGAGGACGGGCTTAACTAGATGCCTGGGACTCAGGAGCAAATTAAATAGAGGAAGATGCAGGAGATGCGGTAGCTGCTGCTCGTGAGTCCCAGTCATCTTGTTTAGCCCCCCCCCCCCTTTACGCGCCGCGCGGGAATACTCTCGGGAGTGGCGGTATAGTCACCGGAAAGAGGTCCGCAGTCTACATATGACTGAGGCCCTGTTATGGCATTTGCTTAGTCTCGATAATTTACGACCGTTATTCTGAGGATAGCCGCGCAGTCGATAGAAACCACTAAGGTCCTAGAAACATTTCATTAATAAACAAGTCCGGCTCTCTAGCGTAGTTGGCTAAACTGGATTGCGCAGAGACCGGGTGACGAACTCCTTGTGGTCCGGGTTCAATCCCGGGGGTAGGCAGGAAAGCCACATTTTCTCCCAGATTTACGGTATTTACAACGGAATCAAGGCCGAAAGGTTGCGATATCCATAATACCGAGCCTAAGGGTTAACAACTCATGGCTTCTGGATACTAAAACAAACAAACAAACAAACAAACATATAATAAACAAACAAACAATGTATTGATCGGCACTCATAGAAAGAAGTAAAATGATAGATGGATACACTAGACTGAACATGTTGATTAATAAGTTCAAAACCAATTGTGAACCCGTTACTGGCTTCGCGACAAACGATTTTTTTTTGGGGGGAGGGGGGCATGACTTCCGCTTTAGTATCACATGGTCTATGAAATTGTCTTGCTGTGTACAGCTCTCCATTTTTTTTTTAGTCAGTGTCATGTGGTGTAGGTAGTCATGTCTATCCACAACCATCTGTCTCGTGTACTTTCAGTCACATCTGACACAGATGGATGATCTTCCATGCCATGATGTCAAACTTTCAAGAATCTTCTCTTTTCGACTACATAACTAGCACAACCTTTATCTTTTTACCGGACAATATAGGTGTTCAAGGCAAGTAGCGTGCAGATTATCTGGCAGACAAGGCAGTTACCACGACTGGCCTGGCAGTGGACCGGAATGATGTCATTAATGCAATCTTCTTCTTCTTCTTCACTTCCTCTTTTACCGCTGTGGGTGTCGAGGGAGATATAAGGTTCTGTTTCTAGCTCTTCTGGCCGCCTCGACCATAGGCACATCGTGCTGTTGTAGAGCTTCTCTGATGTTATCCTTCCATCTTGTTCTTGGTCTACCTTTTGCTCTACGTCTTTCTTCTCTTTCCATGTATGCTTTGTATGGTATGGTGTCACAAGGTATTCTCTCTAAGTGGGCAAACCATTTCACTTGCTGTCTTTGTATGTAATTTAGAATTGGTTCTGTGCCGACTTTTTCTTTTATGATCTCATTCCTGATCTTATCTCTTATGGTCACTTCTACAGCCCTTCTCAGACATCTCATTTCCATGATTACTATTTTTCTTTTATGGCTTGTTGTGAGTGGCCATGTCTGGCACTGGTAGCACAGAGTTGGAATAAATATGCTTTGAATAAGATGTCTCTTTGTGCTGATTGGGATTGTCTTATGCTGTAAGAGGGGGGCTAGCTGTCCCAATACTTGGTTTGCTTTACTGCATCTAATGTTAATTTCTTTATCCAATTTCCTAACTTCGGTAAATGTAGTTCCCAGATATTTAAACTCAGAAGCCCGTTCAATGCCTTTGCACTCTATTGCTATGTTTAGATTAATGCAATGCGAGCTGTAAATCGCAGAGATCACGACAACAAGCAGATCTCAGTATCACTGTCCATGTTGGTGGACAAGAAAGGGGGGGGGGGGGGGGTGGTGCAGCCCGGAGTAGCCAGATCTGAACGTTTTACCAAGGGCACAGGGCGTCTGGAACATAGTACGGGCGTGATCAGTTGTTCTACTCCTGTGGAGCTATTGAGGAGGACATCGGAGCGCCTATAAATATGTCCGGAGTGCTGTGATGATAGTCTCCACTCATCGCCTCGACAATACCCACAGCCATGATGTACTCTAATCTTTCTCCTTTTTATGAGATGACCAAAGAATGTAGATAGTTTTTTTTTCCTGATTGCCATCGGCACTTTGTGAATGACGTGGTCAGCACCACGCCGGCTGCCTTTACTTACGATGCCTGCACCTGGTACCCACTCAAGGCTGGGTCGATCTGGGAGCCAAGATTCAAACATTGCTTTGGTTTGGGCTGTAGTTCCGAGATAAAACTGCACTATGAATATTTACATAATCTTTTTAATATTGTATGATTTAAATTGTGGTTTTTATTCTTAAATTTAACTATGATTATTTAGATAATCTTTGATTTTGTGTGTTTTTTGTTTGGGTTAAAAATCAAATACGCACTATTCTTTTGTCTATCCACTTCTAGATACTCAGTCTAGCTTTAATTTGAAAAAATGTGGCCTTCAGTCCCAGGTAAGGGCTGGGATTTTTCACGTCGACTCGGTTCTACTCGTGTGGAGCTATTGAGGAGGACATCGGAGCCCTATACTATGTCCCGAAACTGATCGATAGTCACCACTCGACGCCTCGACAAAAAGCCATGATTACTCTAATCTTTCTCCTTTCTATGAATGACCAAAGAATGTAGATAGTTTTTTTTCCTGACCATCGGCAAAAATGGCGAATGAAATGGTCAGCACCACGAAAACTGCCTTTACTTACGATGCCTGCAAGCAGGTACCCACTCAAGGCTGGGTCGATCTGGGAGCCAAGATTCAAAACATTGCTGGTTAGGGCCAAAGTTCCGAATAAAACTGTGAAAGAATATTTAGATAATCTTTTTAATATTGTATGATTAAATTGTGGTTTTTATTCTAAATTTACTATGATTATTTAGATAATCTTGTGATTTTGTGTGTTTTTGTTTTTGGGTTAAAAATCAAATACGCACTATTCTTTTGTCTATCCACTTCTAGATACTCAGTCTAGCTTTAATTTGAAAAAATGTGGCCTTCAGTCCCAGGTAAGGGCTGGGATTTTTCACGTCGACTCGGACTTCTAGTAATTTCCCCCTGGTCTCTGGGTAGTGAGATCGGACGCCCGTGTGTATTGTTGCGCACGTAAAAAAAAATCCCATGGCTGTTGGAAATCGAAGAGAGTAGACGAAAGGCGCTGCCCGGGCAAAATTTTAAGTTAAAAATCTACCCAGGCCGACCTCTGGGATTGAACCTGGTACCCCACCATTACGAAGCGCGTTTGCAACTCCTAAGCCACAGATACCGACAACAAATACGTAGTTTGAATTATTAATTATCGTTTCAAAAATTAAAAATTTTCTGAGGCAAAACTAAAATTGGAACGATCGATACAACTGTAACTAGCATTACACAGAAAAGTTTAAGGCAGAAAGCCACTCGAATGACCGCTATTTTGGTTTCAAACACATGAAAATGGCAGAAAAACAGAAAAGTCCAGAAAACCTGGAGACTAAGAGAACTGCTAAGCAGGAAACTACAAATGAAGAAGATAGCGATGATGGGTGGATAGGGCCAAACCCAAATGAAGCTGTGAAAGCAAAGAAACAGAAAAGTAAAAATTACTTAGTGAAAAAATCTAATACATTTATTTAATCAAATTGTATTTATGGACAAAAATTATCAAAAATAACAACTACTTGTCTTATTAGTTATATTAGTGCTTCAGTCTTCAACCCTCTGGAGACTGAGCCTTTTACGTTTAGATTTTTCAGTGCCAAAAAGACGAAACCTTCATGAGGGGATTCTCTCAGTTTACACATAAAATTATAAAAATAAAAGTGTTTAATTAACGTATACAAAACTATATATATATATATATATATATATATATATATATATATATATATATATATATATATATATATATATATATATATTATATTGTGTATGAAATTGAATAAGCTAATAATATAGAATATGGCGGCTATCTTCCGAATAACGGTCCCAAATTATCGAGGCAGAAAAGTGCGCAATTGACACGTGACTGAGGCTCTGTTAGGGTGTTTTTGCGCCGTCATCTTTTGTGCCCATTATTCGGAGGATAGCCTAGAATATATATGAATCAAACTAACATCTTAACATTTATTCAAATTAACTATTCTCCAAAGGGTTAAATTAATATAAATTATTCTTCTGCTTCTTTCTGCTTTCGTTCACTTGAAATAGATTATTGGCTATCCTCCAGATTATCGAGGCAGAAAATACACCCTAACAGGGCCTCAGTTATATGTCAATTGCGCACTTCTGGCGACTTAAATTGCGCACTTCCCAGCCATCTAGTTTAGCCCCGCTCCACCCGCGCATAGCGGCGTGGGAAATACTCTCGGCGGTGGTGGTAGTCACCGGAAGTCCGCAATTTACATGTGACTGAGGCCCTGTTAGGGTATATTTTCGGCCTCGATAATTTGGGACCGTTATTTGGAGGATAGCCAGATTATCTATATTTGCAATGTTGTCTCTAGTATAAACTTCACTGTCATTTGTAGTTGACTCAGTGATCTGTAAAGTTTGCACAGATGTTTCTCTAGGCCAAAAGTTTTGCTCTGATATGTTGTATTTGAGACAGTCTTGGAGGACATGATCTGTTGTCTCAGGTGCCAATCCACATGTTAATTGTAATGATTAATAATAAATTTTATTTTTGGTATTATTGTAATCTCTAAATAAAGTTCCCTAAAATATAATTAATATTATTCTTAGAGCTCTGTATTTAGAGAATAAAATAAGCTGTTTTCTATGATTGTCTTTATGTTTTATATTATATGCTCTTTTACTTTGGGTTCAACAGAAAAGACTTTCTATTTATAGCTAAGATTTCTCAGTACTATTTCGATTTCCTACCACCCAGAGATATTTTTAATGTATTCTGGACAGTACCCGGCCCTTCTATTCAGGGATGGTGTACTTTCTTGAATTCTTCTTCTTCTACTTCAGCATTCCAAACCACTTCAGGTTAATTGCTGCATATATCACCCACCTCCATTCATCTCTGTGATTGGCTTTTTTTTCATTGGGTGCATCTATGTATTTGTAGGTTTGCCGGTGTATTATTTCTGCATTGTATTTTTAGTCAGCTGTTATATACTCCTATAAAGATCTTTTGTTTACAGTTTTTGTCTCTCGTGTCCACCATTCTTCCTATAAGCCCTAACCATCACAGTCTATTAGCCCTCATGATACCAGTAATTAGTGGTGATTTAAACTGTGAATTTTGTTGTTACTTCTCACTGTCCACTGTTTGCATCTTTGATTCGTTTAAAAAAAAATACGTCATAAGATCCTGTTTTCAAAGGTTTTAAATAAGTTTCCAGCTTGGTAAAATACAGATGTGTAATATTTTATTTCTCAACAGCTTTGGCATTTGAGCAGGTATATTTGGACGGTCTGCCTTGTGCTGAATACTATGAAAAAAGCTACATGCATCGAGATATTGTTACCCACGTTGCTGTCAGTAAGTAAGTAAATGTTTAAATTGTAGGATTTCTTGTTAACCAGGTGTCCAGTTGATTATTAAGTCAGGAATCCTTGTGTGTATCCCTAATCTGTACTTCACTCTTTTAGGTGCAAGAAAGTTGCAACTTTAACTCATTCTTTCCAGGCAATTGTTTCTTGAAACTAATAAATAGTAGGCAAACATGTTCTGATGAAAACCATAATTTATAAAAAAAATTCCCTGTATGAATTCTAGGGCCTGTTTGGTGGATGGGGGAAGGGTTAAACCCATTGCCTCTTAAAAAGTATGTTGTAAAACGCGACTAATTAAAGATATGCTGAAACCAGATATATTGGTCCAAAAGGCACAGATATCACAGCCATAAACCATAACACATTGTACCACCTGCCATTTTAAGGATGAATGCAGAAGAATGAGAAGAAAGACATACAAGCCAAGAAATATCTGATGGCAGCAGAAATGTGGTTTTGCTGAAAAATGCAAAGATGGACAGAAACATTAATGAGACAGACCCTCATGAAGCAGACGGAAACTGTACATTGATTAGAGAAATAAGACTCAACAAAGTTTTATGGGTATGTTTTTTGTTTACTTATTCACTCTTATTCTACCTTGGGGTGTAGAGGTTTGCCAGAGATATTGCTAGATTTCACTATCAGCAGTTTTTTTTATTGACTTTGTCCTCTGTCAGTCAGGGACTGTTGGGGTCACAGTCTTCCAGGAAAACCCCAGGTCATCCTGGTGGCCTGATTCTTGGCCTGCCATTTTGGCAGATTTTCTCCCATTCCTCATACAGGTCCAGACCATCATAAATGTGATTTATCGGCTTGGGTCTGTAAGACCTGAGTTTCAAGGTCATGGGGTATTGTCTGATTACGAACTTTGTCCCTTCTTGTCACTTGGACTGCCTTTCTCAGATACCTCATTTCTGAGGCCTGAAGCTGGCTTCTGTAAGCTGTTGTAATTGCCCATGACTTACAACTTGGAATTCTCTTTCACTTGACAACAGTGTGGGGAAAACAGCTGCTAGAAGATCAGTGTAGAATGTTTTAATGGCGCGATGCCATGTCACCTGAGTGCAGTTTTAGCAAGTTTCCCTTAAGTGCATTTTTAGGGCTGCCATTTGTCAACATTTTCCTCTTCTTGATCATTCAAGTCCTTGAGGTTCATTGCTGCAGATATAACCTGCCTCCATTCATCTCTCTGATTGGCCTTCTCTTTTGTGTTTCTGACACCACATATTTGTAGGTCTCTATGGATATAATCTCTCCATCATCTTCTTGGTCTGCCTTGTGGTCTGTAACCATTTAACTAATATAGTTTTTAACCTCACATTCATTAGAGATTCACTCAGTATGCCTCAGCCAGTTCATTCTTTTAACCCTCATGATGCCAGTGATCAGTGGTGATTTAAACAGATTATAAATTTAGTTGTTGCTTCTTGTTCTCCATTTGTCACTTTATAGTATGCCAGTGAATTCCCACTCTAAGTCAGTCAAAATGAAGTAATAATTTTAAAGCAGCTGCTCACTTTTTGGAAAGACGTCAAAATTCATAAACAGTTTACTGGAAGCACAAATTTAATGCTCAGCGGACTCTAATGTACTGTCAATGATTTGTATCTTATATACATCTATAAATATTAACCTCTTAAACTGAACATTTGATACATTACTAGCTCGACTGTTTCAGGTCTGGGTTTATCATTACGGCCAGCTGTGATGGCCACGTGAAGTTCTGGAAGAAATGTGAAGATGCTGGGATTGAGTTTGTGAAGCACTTCCGAAGTCATTTAGGTAACTATGTCTTACTGCACTTAGTTTAGAGATTAGTTGTTCAATTTTTAGTATGAACTGTTGGGCCCCATTTTAGGGAAAAAAGAAACGATTCACTGCTCCACTTACAAGTAGGTCGTAAAAGGGTTTTACAGCCAAAATTTGTATGTAATAGTACAGTTCATAGCATTGTTCAATACAAAGTGGCACCTGACATTTCCTACACCAGTAACTTGTCATGGTGCTTTTGTGGGCCCTCTTTTGTTTCTGGATTCTTTCATTTGTCTTTTTTCTGCGTACACTGTGCGCCTTCTTCTGTAAATGGCTGTACTTCAGGAAAGTCTTGCAAATCACAAAGCCAGTCATCAACCAGTTGGCCTGGGATTGTATCTGGCCAGAAAATTTTGATAATTCTACGTAGACATGTGTGGTGAAAGGTGGACAGCTTGTGTGTATCCTTTTTGGTCATTCTCCCAAAAGGAACCAGCAGTCTGCATATAAATGCATCAGATCTGTCAAACGGATGCACACGCAACACTCAGGTTCTGGAACAGGACTGCAGTCAGAAGTGGATGAACAATCCGAACGTTCCGCCAGAGTTTACAGCTGGTGAACGTGACGACGAAGAAGAAGAGATCAGTCTATTCAGTAATATCTTCACCTTCACTTTCAGAAGAAATTTGAAGTCAAGAAAATCATGAGTAGCAGCAGAAAAATTAAAAATTTATGACCACCACGATCTCTTCGAGAATTCGACACCATGACGAAAATTTTGTCAGTCTGCTAGGTGGGAGCATTGATGAAAATTCATCAAAAATTTACAATAAGCACTGTATAGTTTTTTCCCTTAATTTAATATGGAGAAACGAATTGGGTAAAGACTTCGACCAAATTCATCAAAAAAAATTGCGATTTTAGCATGACGGTGAGCATTCAGAGTTACAATCGCGAGGGATGCAATCGTGGTAGCCGGGCTTAAACGTTGCCTGATCACATACCTGCGATCATGGTAACCAGGCTTAAATGTTGTGTGATCACATAACGTGTGATCATGGTAGCCAGGCTTAAACGTTGCTTGATCACATAATGTGTGATCGTGGTAGTCAGTGGGTTCAGATTATTTATGAAATATTTACTATCACTTATATGTGTATGCAGGTACCATTGAAGATTTAACCCTGTCTCCAAATGGTGAACTTTGTGCTACAGTTTCATCAGACAAGAATGCCAAAGTTTTTGATGTGATCAATTTCGGTAAGAATAGATCATTTTAGAGTTCTTATTTGTTCCTGATGTCCGCCTGTCCTGTTCATATGATGTTTTTGTTTTTTATTATGAAATTCTTGTACCGAATCTACTGTGGAAGTTGCTACAAAGCACTCACTGTGTCTTTGTGAATATTACCTGGCAAGGTCTCAGTCTCTTCTTCTGCTATGTGACTTTCCTACAGTTAAAAAAAAACACCTGCCAGTTACTGTCTGCATTTACCGCTTTTGCACTGGAAGAGGAGGGGGCGCCGGGGGTCTTTGAGCCTGAAGATTTATGGCCGCATGCCTAGTGCAGTCGCCGTGGAGTTTGCAGGTCCGGATATAATTTTTGACCCTGACAGAAACAAATTAATTAACTTACAGAGGACTCGAAAGTGGGTCTTCGGTATGATAGCCCAGCGTTCTTAACTGTAGCCACAATGTCTAGAGTTCCCTCCTTGCCAAGGTTAGTTCCCCTGAGTTTGCAGGTTCAGAAGGGCAAAGCTTGCCCGGTTATATAATAATTTCTGACACCTCCTGTTTCCTCAGGCAGACTGGCTGGTAATCTTGTGTTATCTTAATTAGTTAGCTAACCACATATTAACCTCACTGCACATGAGGCAAGTCCATAAGCGCTCGGATCCCATCTTCACTGTATCCCTCAGCGTGTGGCGACTGATAACACCAGTTCTGTGTTGGTTTATTATTCCTTTTTGGCTGCCTGTCTAGTGTTCATGTCTTTTGAGTGTTACAGATTCAACGTCATCTGCAGAATCATCTTCTCATTGTGCCTCCTTATGTAATCTTAGCCCATGACTAGTTTCTTTGTCAGGTCTGAGAACTGGAAAAAAATTTTGATCGCAAGTGGTTTTAGTATTTGGGCCTAGTGCATAGTAAATTAATTCTTAATCTCTTTATTAAACAAAGAAATGTTATTAAACACAATACATTCTGAAATCACTGATGTGGTTTCATCACATATATAGCAGCATAAAGGGATGACGAGAAAGCTCTACGTTAGTGATTGTCATACTCTTTTATTCCTTCTGTTTTGAACAGGTACCAGTTAGTGAATGTTTAGTGTCAGATATCACAGCCTAGCCTGTAAACCACAACCCAACAGCCAACCACCCAGTTTTTAAGGATTAATGTAGAAGAAGAAATTTAAATTATTCACAAGAATAAGTTTATGGAAATGTCATAACTTTGGAACAATGGCGTGTAACAAATCTGTCAGTGGTGCCCAAAATGGTTCCTGTAATTTCTATTTATTTATTTATTTGTTTTGTTTATTTATTTCAAGATATGATCAACATGCTGAAGCTGGGCTTTCACCCTGAGTGTGCTGGCTGGCTCTATAGGGCTGGTGATCCAATCTCAGTTTTGGCTGTGTAAGTTCTCTTCTTGTCTCCCCGATCTTAGAGTACTGGTTTACTGGTTTTTCGGAATTAACGTTGTAGCATACCGGGCATACCCTTAGATGCTTCATCTCCCACAGCAGATGTGTAGGTGTAGATGCTAACTGTTACCATTGCACACTGATTATACATATGTTGTTCTCTTTGTCTCATATGTACATCCTTTGCGGGACCCACACTTTATTCCTCATTCCCACATTCTTTGCATATGTTTTTTACATCTGATCTCGTGTCCTCTGTCAGCAATCGTTCATATATGGTCTTCAGAATATCTCCCTTTCCAGTACAAGTGTTCCCGTAGCTTGGGTTTTTTAGCTAGAAAATCCGCTCTTTCATTCCTTCGCACTCCTGCATATCCCGGACAGTATATCCAAGTGATTCCCAGATCTGCATTTATCAGACTGTTGTTGCCTCCATCGGTGCCAGATAAAGGATTAGGTTAGTTGCGTATCCTTTAAGGACGTTGCAGAACCAACCCCAGCAGCCCCTGGCTGTTGTGTGGTTTCTCTAGGCAATTTACGTCCAGTAGTTTGCCATTGCTTTCTGGATGGTCGGCCAAATGACACTACTGTCGAAACCAACGCAAGGCGCATGGCCCACAGCTGGGATCGAAAAAAGGATTAGACTTTAAATATTTCGGTACATGGCAGTTATTGTTGTAACTGAGCAGTTTATTCTAAAGACATAGACAGTTAGGTCAAAATCTGCTACTGTATTCACTGTGTATCTGAAATGAATTAACCCTTTAGTTCTGCGAAGCCAGGTTTCTTCAGGCTGGTACCATTTTCCTGTCAGAGCTGCTTTCCTGGCTTGGTATAGAATGTGTGACTGACTGACTGACTTTCTACGCCACTAGGACATCACACAAGCGATAAACACCCGATGACACAATGTGCCACCATGTGGATGAGGATCACCTGTGGAGAGGTCCCAGAATCTGCGTTCAGCCTTTAGGCCATATTTATGGCCAGGCTATATTGCGGCCCCTGGTAAGAGCCAGAGTAGGGCTTCAAATAACGCAAAATTTCATCCTAAAAAGGACGAGAAGTATCATAGAATGTTTTATGAGGTGTGTAGCTAACAGAATTCATTGTATCTGCGTCTGTACAAACATTCAGTGTTGACAGGGGATGACTAAATTTACTTAAAATTTCAATTACTGGGGTTTCTTTTTTATAAAATGGCTTTATTTATAGAAATTCCGACATATTTTCCCTCCATTAGCTACAGTGATTACTGTACAACTTGGTCACAGGGTGAAGTGTCATGCTGTAATTAGTTTACAGGCCCCAAAGAGATCTTAGCCAGTTGATTCTTTGATGCATTCTTTGTGATTAATTACTTCCCTTACTCTAAATAGTATTTGTGTTTTGGATGGTAAATTGATTTTTTGCAACACCCCTCCCCTGAGAATCCCCCAGCCCCTTCCACCCCAAAAGCTGGGGTTTATTCTTTCTAGATCACCAGGGTGAAAGGGTAAAAGTAAAAGAATAGACTCGATTAATACAACATCAGTATGGGATACAACAAGGTTAAGAAAGACATCTTATAAAGAGTATCTGATAAACGTGTAGTCAGTTGTTTGGTACCGAAAGAGTTGAGGAAATGAGGCTCAGCAGTTTGTTTATGGAGTTCATGATGCTTAGGGCTTGTCTGCTTCAGGGAGTAGAGAGGATAAGCAGGGTTCTGTGCTTTATTAATATCCTATCCCAAATGGGAAATCCACAGGTCACAGGATAGTCTACTATCTCATAGGGTGGTAGATAAGCTGCATGCAGTCGTGGGACCTAGGCTACACTTTCTCGTAGGTAGATTGGGGTTAGGGTCAATTCCCTAGAAGTTTTGGGGGTCGTTAAAAGCATCAGAAAACTGGAAAACCCGGTCTTACCATCTCTAAAATGTTGGACTGTCCTGTGACATCATCTGGGGGTAAGATATTAATAAAGAATCCAGGGGTCAGCATTGTAATGAAATTAAGATTTTACAATCACAAATAAAGTGTAATAAACATATAATTCACAGAGCTGAGAAAGACACTACCTCTATTTACATATACGATGGCAGAGGGACAGGCACCGCTCTCACTGTGTTAGAAAAAATTCACTTTGCCCCTGTGATTCTCATACAGGTATGGTCAGTTCCATCATTTAATTATATGTTAAGTGTATACGATGTAAGTATTATTACCACACGTTTTATTTAATATATTATATGTTTATTTTTTCCATGTGGGTTCCTGGGCTCAAATTGGGGGTGGGGGTTGAAGACTCACTGCCCTTTAACAAGCGCTTGTCTTCTTGTAGATAGTAACTTATCAAAGGTTTGTTGAAATCTATGTGTTCAGCTGAAAGGTGCAGATGTCGTCTTGTCGTAAACTAAAATAACATGCCAGCCACCTTTTTTAAGTTCCAGCGCCGAAGAAGAAGAAGAAAAAGTCTGTTTATGTAACCCTTTCGACCTGGGAAACCCTAAAAAAAAAAAAAGGTCGTGATCACATTTGAATTCCAAGAAAAATCCGCAGAATAACAACAGTCCTACAGAAATCACTAATAGATCTGTGAGAGATGTATTTATCTAGGTTTAGGTTTAAATAACGGATCAACATCATGGCACAAGGGTAGTAACCCATAAGTGCTCTGTTCTTCTTCTAACTCAAGCCTGAGTCCGAAGAATCTCAGCACAGTGCACTAACTCTGCAGCACCAGCGAGGATCCTGAAGTACTTTTGGGTAGATTTTTAACTCAAAATTTTGCCCTGGTAGCGCCGTTAGGCTACTCTTTTTTATTTGCAACTGCCCATGGATTTTGTAACATGCGCAGAAATACACACAGGCGTCCGATCTTACTACCCAGAGACCAGAGGAAATTACTAGAAGTCCATATGAAAAATCCCAACCTTGACCTGGGCCTGAAACCGGGACCTCTAGCATTTGAGGTGGACGCCAAGCTTCGAGACCACTCAGCCATCCATTTATCTACGTTTTAAAATTATTTCCTTTTGGTGGGGGGGGGGGGGGGGGGGGGAAATAATATTAAGAGATATGAAGGGAGTAATCAGTAAACATGAACATGGTGAAGCAGCATTCCCCATTGCCTAAAAATAATATGAGTCAGGTGACTTTATCACTGAGGCTTATGGTAACATTTGAACTCCCCTTGGCTTTTCAAAAAGTTTTTTGCAGAAAGGAGAACTCCCTAAATGCTGCTTTTAGTTCTTGTACTCATATCCTGACTTCCTAAATGTTTGCGCAGTCGCAAACACAGCCAGTAGCATTACTATGTGTCTCATAACAGTTCACCATAGACAAGTTAGGAGAGTATTGATGATGATGATGACGGTGATGATGATAAAGTAAAAGGTAAAGGTTAAGTCGGGAGTTGTGAACCAGCGTCATTGCACACGGTTATAAACTGTAAGTGCTTTGCCACCAGTGCGGACAGCTGATAAGAAATTGTCAGCCTGTGTGGCCGTCCGCACGCAACTCTGTAGCAACAGCGACATTCCTCCATTTACCCGATAGTGTTAACTCTGGCACCCATTACCTAGAGGCTGGGTGAACCCCGGGAACCACCCTGTTTCGCACACTGGCCGTGGGCTGCAGTGAGTCACAGCTGGATTTGAAAGCGAGTTTCCTATCGACTGCACTAACGCGGCCCCACGATGATGATGATGATGATGCAGTAGTGATCACCCATTTTAGTAATTCTATTATATTTACACCACTGGGTTAAGTCTTCACTAAATATAAAAATGTCCTGCCAGAATTTGCATCAGTTTTATGTCAAATTGTAAATTATATTTGGTTGCAGTACAATCCTCACCTGGAGTTGGCCGTGTCTGCAGACAAGAAGGGCAACCTTGAATATTGGACTGGTCCGAAAGGGGACTACAGCTTCCCTAGAAACTTGAGCTGGGAATACAAGACAGACACAGATTTGTATGAATTTATGAAGGTATGTAAGATAATACACCATTTTATTTAGACATTTTGGGTCTAATGGCATAAGGGAAAAGCTGGAGTCAGAACTGAGTAGCAGAAATAGCTTTATGAATAAGCGGTGACCACGAAGGGGGTGTGGAAATTGGCCAGTTCATTTTTTTTTTGAGATCTAATCTAATACATGTGAAGCAGAAGAACTGGCTGGAGCTGCCATGGTTTAACGGAGAGACGCTCACCTGTGGATCCGAAGGTCACGAATTTCGTCCAGATTTGGACTTTTCAAATTTTTTTTGCTTCCAGATTGACCTAGTCTTGAGTGGGTACTATGAAAAGTCCTGGAAAGTAAAAGCGGCCCGCGTGATGTTAACCTCATCGCTACACCAAGTGCCGATTGGTCTGTGAAATATCGGTCTAGCACTATATGCCCAATACACCTGAAGAATTCTTTAGAGCTGTGGTGAGGGCATTTGCTTTCCAAAAGAAGTCCCGCCCGGCTCGCTAGCGTAGATGGCTAAACCTGACTTCGCTGTGGCCGGGTGACAAACTCCTAGTAGTCTGGGTTCACTTCCGGCGGGGTAGGCAGAAAAGCTACATTTCTCCCAGATTTACGGTATTTATCATGGAATCAAGGCCGAAGGATTGCGATATCCATAGTACCGAGCCAAAGGGTTAACAACTCATGGTTTCTGGATATTTAATGTCATTGGTTCAGTTGCTGATGACAACAGCTCACAGAAGCCAGCTTCAGGCCTCAGAAATGAGATATCTGAGAAAGGTGGTCCAAGTGACAAGAAGGGACAAAGTCCGCAATCAGACAATACGTCCAGGATCTTGATACCCAGTCCTTACAAACCCGAGTGGATCAGTCACAGTTACGATGGTTTGGACATGTATGCAGAATGGGAGAAAATCGGCCACCATGGGAGGCTAAGAACCAGGGAATCAGACCTCCAGGACGACCCAGGGTGCGCTGGGAATACAACATCCGACAGTCCCTAACTGACAGAGGACTGGAATGGAACAAAGCCAGAAAGAAAACGGCTAATAGAGACGCCTGGCGATCTCTCTGGCAAACCTCTACACCCCAAGGTAGAAGAGGAGCGACTAAGTCAGTAAGGTTCAGTTGCTGTCGACTGTCTGCTCAGTTCCCTCCACCCTGTCAGTCAGATTCTGTGGACTTGATGTTTACATATTTGAGTGCTGTTTGTTCAGCCAGATTCTGTATCTAGAACTTTCTTTGTCTGGTGGATTTTTGAAGATAAACGCAGGTCTTAGCTAATTTGGGGAAAAAAAAAACCCCACAATATATTGTTTTAATCCAATCCTGAGATAAATATATAATATGTGTAAATTATTTTGTGCTGTAAGATATTAAAAACAAATTATGTTTTCCTATTGGCAGTGTAAGTGTGAGATTGTGTCCTTGACCTTCTCACCTAATGGTCAACTGATGGCTACATTGGCCACTGACAGGAAGGTAAGCAGCTGGCATGTCTTGTAGAAAGTCAGTGTTTGTGTGGCTTTTTCCTACTGTGTGAGTTCCAGGGTCCCATTGTATGGAGTAAAAAGCGAAAGGGGGGGGGGGGGGGATCGAATCGACTAATAGGATTCCCCCCCCCCCCACCCCCAACACACATTTCTTAAAAGTCAACTTAATTAAGGGTGTTTCCTTTAAAGTGGGAATGCATCTGCCTGAGAGGCAGAGAACCAAAGTCTGCATACATACTTTATGTGTGTGTGTGTACACATATGCACATATGCACCCCCCCCCCCCAAACTATAAACCGTATGTGCATGCAGACTCAAGTTCTTGAACAAGACCAAAAGCACAGAAGTGGATGCACAACCAGAACTTTTGGCTGGAGTTTACAGCCAGTGTCTGCTGAGAACAAGAAGTTTTGATCTTTCACTTTCACACAGATGTGTTCGGGAATCCCAGTAGTTGTGTAATGTCTTCTCTGACTTTTGTATTTGTTCGGAACACATGCCATGGCCATTGAGGTTGACCTTACTGTCGATTCCTTACCCATCAAAAAAAAATGGTCGACACATTCCGTTTCTGGGGACAGCTTTTTTTTTTGCAAGTTTGCTCTCTAGACAGCTGCAGTCCCCTGCTGACAAGATTTGTCTTCCTGGATAGTCGCAATTAAAATATTGCAAACACAGCATGCTTATTGAGGCTGCACTTTCTATCAGTTGCCATTTCACTTCGACATAGTACAGCTGTAATACACGCCGCTGCCACCAAAAAAGAACAGCTTATTCTGCATTTGAGTCATGCACAAAATAGTAGTCCAATTAAATAGAAAGTAAAGATCTGAAAAAAAAATCACAGCCGCTGAAAAATAACACAGTGGCTCATCACCATACTGAAAAAAATGGATGTCTAAAACATACTGAAAAAAAAAAAACTGGCTCCTTTTGTGGCTAATCCACTGTTTATATTATCATAATCAAGCGCCTTGCTGACTGGCATCAGCTTTGATGCTTTTCCACATCTTGTAGTCTCCAACAGGATGCATCCATTTGTGTGCTTACACCCTTAGCTGGTTCATTCCTTTTATTGTCCTTTTGTGCCATTATACGTCACATAGGGTTTGCAATATATTTCTCTATTTCCTTCTGTCCTGTGCAGTCACATCAGCACCTTTGGCCTCTCTCATTAGCGTTCACCTTAGGGTTTCTCTTGGATGTTTCCTGAATCCCTCTGTTTCCTATTTCAGTGCCTGTTTGGTGATTCTCTGTTTGTCTCTTCTCAGAATGTGTTTAATATGACGCCATTTGTTTCTGTCTAATAACTGTTGATACAAGTCGTTGCCCCAACAGTGTTGTTATAAAAAAAATTTTCCTGTAACTTCTGCTTTAATTGATGATTAACTGCAACTCTAGTGGCAGGCTATTTGTGTTGGTGTTTCTGATGGGTGCCTTGTGCATTAGATGCATGTGCATACTGTTGGCTTTGTAGAGGTTGCAGTCTTTCAGTTTTTTCTCAAGGGACGTCAGTGAGCATTCTGTGTTTTCTGTGTGTGTTGGCACAGGGATGGAAGAACTATGGGGTGACCCATTTTCCATAAAGTTGGAATAGAACTTTAACTGATTAGCTAACAGTTTAAAATAATCATCAGATTTACCTGGCAAGATGATGCACAAATTCCTATGACGTCTCAGCACCAGAGGCTGAATAACAGTTTTTAGGAGGTTAACACTTTTACTTTTACTTCACAGATTCGTATTTTCAGGGTGAGCACCGGCAAACTCTGGAAGGTTCTGGATGAGTCCATCCAACAGTTTACAGAGCTGCAACAGGTGAGGATTGTCTTTACATCCTTTATAGATTTTCCTTTGTCAGTTTTTCTTGTTTAGGGGAGGCTGCAACCTCGCATGTGTTTGTGATGGCACAAAGTATATGCAGCTCATCAGTATCTCCTTCTTCGTGGTCACCTGCTATAAACTCTGGCAGAAAGTTCTGGTTTTTCATTCATCTTGACTTTAGTTTTATTCCAGAACCTGAGTACTATGTGCACATGTGTTTACAGATCTGGCTTAAATGTTTACAATCTGTTGGTTCCTTGCCTCTCAGGAAAGAGATGTTCGAACACAGAAAAGGAGGCAGGTGGCAACAAACCTCAGTGGCTCAGAATACTGAAGAAGAAAAGAAGATGACAAATTTTATATGTAAAAAGATGAATGATAAATATTATTTCTTATATTTGTTAAATACAGTTCTTTTATTACATGCAACTAGCTATGTATGATCTGTTTTTTAGATGAAGCAGCAGATTCCACACATGGAGTTCAGCCGTCGTTTGGCCGTGGAGAAAGATCTAGAAAAGTCACCTAGTTATCGCACCTGTAACCTTGGTAAGCACATTCTTATCACTGGGTGCGGCAATTTATCAGTTTTGTAAATATCTCTGTCAGTAACAGTGTAACTATCGTCTGTTTCAAAACATGTGCCTAGGAAGTTTATATATTAGCCCTATTGTCTTCGTAACCATTACACGGGACACAATACATTTTAATATAATATTCTGCTTATAAAGTGGTACCTTGAAATACATCCTCCTTTCCAGATCCTTGCACGTATACCAGACATGATGTATACCAGACATGACATATACCAGACATGACGTATACTAGACATGATGTATACCAGACATGACGTATACTAGACATGATGTATACCAGACATGACGTATACTAGACATGATGTATACCAGACATGACGTATACTAGACATGATGTATACCAGACATGACGTATACTAGACATGACGTATACTAGACATGACGTATACCAGACATGATGTATACCAGACAGACATACTAAACATGTGTATACCAGACATATGACAGACATGACGTATACTAGACATGACGTATACTAGACATGACGTATACTAGACATGACATATACCAGACATGATGTATACCAGACATAATGTATACTAGACATGACGTATACTAGACATGACGTATACCAGACATAACGTATACTAGACATGACATATACTAGACATGATGTATACCAGGCATGACGTATACTAGACATGATGTATACCAGACATGACGTATACTAGACATGATGTATACCAGACATGACGTATACCAGACATGATGTATACCAGACATAATGTATACTAGACATGACATATACTAGACATGATGTATACCAGACATGACGTATACTAGACATGACGTATACCAGACATGATGTATACTAGACATGATGTATACTACTATCATATACTTGGACATGATGTATACCAGACATGACGTATACTAGACATGACGTATACCAGACATGATGTATACTAGACATGACGTATACCAGACATGACGTATACTAGACATGACGTATACCAGACATGATGTATACTAGACATGACGTATACCAGACATGACGTATACTAGACATGACGTATACCAGACATGATGTATACTAGACATGATGTATACCAGACATGACGTATACCAGACATGATGTATACCAGACATGACGTATACCAGACATAACGTATACCAGACATGACGTATACCAGACATGGCGTATACTAGACATGGCGTATACCAGACATGGCGTATACTAGACATGGCGTATACTAGACATGGCGTATACTAGACATGGCGTATACTAGACATGGCGTATACTAGACATGGCGTATACCAGACATGATGTATACCAGACATGGCGTATACCAGACATGACGTATACTAGACATGACATATACTAGACATGACGTATACCAGACATGACTTATACTAGACATGACTTATACTAGACATGAGTATACTAGACATGACCTATACCAGATATGACATATACCAAATTTACCTATAAGAAATAAAGGGAGAATGATTAGTCCATTCCCATGAAAAATCCTATTGTTATTGGCATTTTATACATTGATGAGGTTGCATTCAATAATTAAATCTCTGCTTAATACTAAAATATATAAATACTAAAGCAATTAAATAAAATAAAATTGAATCTTACTTTTTACCTTGCTAAAAAGAGTCGAGTGATTACTAGGATGGTACTGAGGAGAAGGAGATGTTATTGTTTGGAAGGAGAGTCCACTTCCAATTAAACGTCAGAAATCTGAAATTCTGGAGTGTTTTCTTTCTTGTTTCTGTCTCTTTTTTTGGCTGAGACCCACTATGTTTGACTTTTACTGAAAATCTGCCCAGAGAATTTTGCTTCTGCCTTCTCCTCATGATGTTTTGGTAATTGTATTGCCTGGTCATTGCAGACAGGGCTATTACGGCTTGTTTAGAGTTTGTTGGGGTGGTACTTTTCTGCAAAGTTGTTGATATCCCACCATTTGGCCTTGATTAATGAAGTAAGGCCTTTATCTTCTCCTCCTATGATTCCGACTCATTTTGACCCATACAAGTTCTGTCATGTGAGTTATATTCTAAACAACGGTCACATACCAAGAAATTTTTTTTTGAGGGGGGGGGGGGGGTGGGGGGGGGGGCGGGGGGGGGGGGGGGTGATGTATACCAAAGCAGACGTATACCCAAGTACCAATGCATTTTCCATGTCATTACAAATTTATAATTATGCAGATACTGTAGTTTCTTTATTTCTCTGAAGTATTTGGAGTTCCTAATTATTTTATCTCTGCAAAATCCAAAATAAGTTTGTTGCAAATCATTTAACAAGACATCAGAAACCAGCGATATAAAGATCTGATTCATGGGAACAAAATGCCATGGACCGTATTGTGTGGAGAGGGCATGTCAGGAAGGGAATGAGAATGGAGGAAGAAGGGATTGCAGTAAGGATGAGAGCTGAGCGTCTGAGAAGAAAACACTGAATACAAATGATGGCAGCAATGGTCCTGAAATCCCTTGCTATATTTGTGGTAAACTTGTCTTAACTTGGGTGGGTCCTGCTAGTCATACTCACCATTGCCATGGGCTGTGAGTCCCATGCCTTTTCATAGCACAATATAACACTATTGTCTGGAAAGACAGAAATGTGCCAACAACAGTAGCAGCAACAGCAGCAGCATATTCTTCTTCTTCTTTACTTCCTCTTTTACCACTGCGGGTGTCGAGGGCGAAATAAGGTTCTGCTTCATGTACTTCTGGTTGCTTTCACCATAGACACATTGTGATGCTGTAATTTCTCTGACATTTCTCCATGTTGTTCTTGGTCTGCCTCTTGCTCTGCGTCCCTCTTCTCTTTTGGTATATGCCTTTTATGGTATAGCATCAGAAGGCATTCTCTCCATACATGCATATAAACAACATATAATAATGCGTTAATTTTAAACTATTTTGTTTTGCAGTGTTTGATGAAAGCGGTTATTTCCTTCTGTATGCAACACTCATGGGCATCAAAGGTAAAGTGTAACTGTGTTTGGTCACATCTACAAAGTAGGTTGTTATTATTATTATCCTATTGTGCCATTTATACACCACAAAGTGATCACAGTAAGTTCCTCCATTGCATTTTGTCCTGTGTGGTTCTTTTCATAACGTATATGGATTCTTGTTGGGCACCTTTGGCCTCTCTTGTTAGTATTCCTTGTAGGGTTTCTGCCAGACATCCTCACTTCCTGAATCTGTTTATTTACCATTTAAGTGTCTGTTTTTTGATTCTCTGTTAGCCCTACCTCAGGCTGTGCTCAGTGCCCTCTTCTTTTTGGTTTGAACAACAGATTGACATCATGGCACACGGGTAGTAACCCATAAGTGCTCCTTTCTTCTTCTGACTCAAGTTAGAGTCCGAAGAAGCTCAGCACAGTGCACAGGCTCTGTAGCACTGGCGAGGATCCTGAAATACTTTGGGTAGATTTTTAACTCCAAATTTGGCCGGGGTCGTTAGTCTACTATTTTCGATTTTCAACTGCCAAGAGATTTTGTATGTGCCCAACAGTGCGTCAGATCTCACTACTCAGAGACCAGAAGTCCAAGTCCGCGTGAAAAAATCCCAGCCCTCACCGGGGATTGAACCCAGAAACTAGCACTCGAGGCGGACACCATGCCTCGAGACCACACAGCACCCTATTGCCCTCTTTTTTCTCTTAGAACTGTTGATTGATACCCCTAATTGTCCAGATACATCTCTGATGTTTTTTGTTTGTTTTGTCTTGTAGTAGAATAATGTTGTATTATATTTATTGTGGTTTGCTTGATAGAGTTTAGCTGTTACATTTTTAGGTGTCCTCTCTCTAATATAGCTGCAGAATTTTACATACAGCTGACAGTGCATGTCAGTGTCGCTGCTGCAGCTATGCCGGTCAGCATGTCATGTTTTAACTGTAAACACACACAGCACACGTTAATTACACAGCGTATAAGACACACATCGGCTGCCCTCTGGTCTCTAGCTGTGAAATATACAGTCATTTTTTTTAACAAGTAACTGACATGTTTAAAGAGGAGAAAAGCCAGCAAAATAGGCTACAACATGAGCTTGAAACAACAACACAACTGCACATGGCCATATTGGAAAATGGAAGTCCAGTTGTCAAGATGAACATTTCACCAAGGGCACAAGATAGAACAAGTGTGATAGTCATTTTACTGTCGTCATTTTACTGTCGTCATTTTATGATAGTCCTAGCTAATTACTAATCATTAAATGATAGTTATCAGTCTTCTTGCTTTACCTAACTTGTTTCTTTGTCATTATTCTTGAGTTACCTAACTTGTTTCTTTATCAGTCTTCTTGAATTATCTAACTTGTTTCATTTCACAGTCATCAACCTCCACACGAACAAATGCCAGCGCTGGCTGGGAAAGACGGAAAACATCCGTTTCCTTCACCTTGGTCTGTTCCAAGGAGCAGGAAAAGCCAAGCAGCCAATGGACGCAGAAATGACTGCTTCGGATAATCCCATTCTGCAGAATGTCTTTGTGGATCCCATCTTGGTGTGCACAGCTTTCAAGAAGTCCAGGTTTTACTTGTTCAGCCGAAGAGAACCAGATAATTCACACAGGTGTGTTTTACGGATGTTAGGTTTGGTTGCAAAGAAACATGAAGTATTTATAAGTGCATATTGAGTTTGTAGTTAAAGTTAGTTGCATATTTTTCTTCTCAACTTTCACTGTCTGTAAACTCGGGTGGAAAGTTCTGGTTGTTAATCCACTTCTGGACTTTGGTCTTGTTTCAGAACTTGAGTTTTCCCTGTGTATCTGTTTGACAGATCTAGCTTATTTGTATGTCGACTGCTGGTTCCTTGCCTCTCAGGTAGATGCACTCTGACTTGGAATTAAACACCCCTAATTTGTTACCTTGTATAATATGCTTGTTAACGAATCAGTGGGTCTGTTTCTCCCCCCCCCCCCCCCCCAATCACAATGGGGCCCCAGAACCCAAATGGGGAGGATGTTCTTAGTAGTAAAGAAATGTAAAGTTAATGTTTCTAATTTTATCTTGAGTTTACAGTTAAGAGTTATTTGCACACTGTTTACAGGACTTCATACACAAACCTCAGCATTTGTTGATTTTTATGTAATTTTTTATGATTTGCCATCACTTTCTGAATAGCATGACACTTAGAATGTTGTCAAAATCTAGGCATAGTGGTCTGCTACCAAATTGTCTGCTGCTGACTTGAACCCTCTCTAGGTCAGGATTGTGAAACTGCATTCCCAAATCTTTTGCTACAGACACCAATGAGTTTACAGTTACAATGGTACCTTAGTAAACGTACGCTTTTGAATTGGGCCAACTATCGTATACATCCAGTTTAGATGAAAAATTTTTGGCTTAGTAAATAACTTTGTATGTGTGTGGAATATGACTCACATGTAAAAACTTGTATTAGTCAAAGTGAGTCACGACACTGTGCGCTACCCTTGTTTATCTGTCAAGACAAAACCATGACTGTCTATGAATGTCAGTGCACCAGTCGCTACCATTCAGTAAACACCCTGCGCTATAACTGAATTTTCATATGATTATGCGGTTTATCAGTAGATTATTTAGTAAATTCATTAACGGGGAATTCTAAGAAAGTTAATGAGAAGTGCCAAGCAACAAAGAAAAGGGTTCGATCATGATGAAGGTGAAAAAAGAGATTGTCAAAGAGCATAAAGGTAGCATGCGATGTAACAGTGGTGTTGATATTTTTATGGTCATGGTAACAGATCAATCATTCTCCCTTTATTTCCTATGGGGCCAGACTTTTTTCAAAACACCCTTGGCTCCCAGGTTGACCCAGCCTTGAGTGGGTACCAGGTGCAGTCCTGGGAAGTAAAGGCGGCTGGCGGGATGCCGACCACATCATCCACCAAGTGCCTTTTGGTCTATAAAATATAGGCCTAGCCCTATATACCCAATACACCTGAAAGTCATGTATAAGAGTCCTTTACTTTTACTTTATTTCTTATGAGAGCATATTTGTTTATTTTACGTCCTGCTTGGTATACGTCCAAGGATCTAGATCGGATTAGGAATTATTACAGAGGTACCATTACCTTGATGCTTGACCAGATTGTAAAAGCATGACAAGAACACAGACCTGATCCTGGACTCTACTGGTTTATAGTGAATCATGGCTGCTTGTCAGGGGCAGACCAAGAAGACCCTGGAGAGATAGTATACAGCAGACCTGCAGACACTGGAGGTCACCAGCTGCAAAGCGAGGACATTCACCAACTGGAAAGCGAGGACAATCAGGATGATAAATGGAGGCGGGTGATATCTGCAGCAATAAACCTCCAGGGCTCGGGATGTGAAGAAGGAGATGACACTGCTTGTGCTTATGAACATGGTACAGACTCATGATGATAATGATTAGACGCTTGTTTTAAGTCAAGAAAAAGTAAAGGACCCGAACTATCAAAGTTTGTTTCGTTAAGTTGTCAGTAATTAATGCAGTATTTCTGAATTTACAGTTTTGAAAGTGAAAGGGATGTGTTCAATGAAAAGCCCTCAAAGGAAGAAATTGTTGCTGCAACACAGGTCTGTGCTTTTTTGAGTTTGTGTGTGTGTGTGTGTGTGCGCGCGCGTGCATGATCGTGTGCGTATGTGTGTGTCTCTCTGTCTGTCTGCCTGCCTGTCTGTTTGTCTATCTCCCTGCCTATCTGCCTGTCTGCCTATCTGTATCAGACATGAAATGCACAATAAACATTTTTTGTTTGGGTTTGGATTCCCTTTCTTTGCCAGTCTGTCAGCCCCTTCATTTCCAGGTATTTTTCACTGGGGTGGGATAAATTATTACAACACTTTTGGATTGATGACATAGTCCTTGGACTGTCGTGCTGAGTTGTCTTGGTGTGTTTTCACCAAGAGTCTACATTTGATATACTCATTTGGGGGATGGGCTAGGGCAGGTGTGACATTAAAAACAAATTTTAAACATCCATTCTCTTCTTTTTCTATTTCTTCTTCTTCTTCTTCTTCTTCTTCTTCTTCTTCTTCTTCTTCTTCTTCTTCTTCTTCTTCTTCTTCTTCTTCTTCTTCTTCTTCTTCTTCTTCTTCTTCTTCTTCTTCTCTTCTTCTTCTTCTTCTTCTTCTTTCTTCTTCTTTCTTCTCTTCTTCTTCTTCTTCTTCTTTTTCTCCTCCTCCTCATCTTCTTCTTCTTCTTCTTCTTCTTCTTCTTCTTCTTCTTCTTCTTCTTCTTCTTCTTCTTCTTCTTCTTCTTCTTCTTCTTCTCCTTCTTCTCCTTCTCCTTCTTTGCATTCACCGGCTCAAACTCCAGTGGAAAGCTGTGGTTGTTTGTCCACTTCTGGACTTTAGTCTTGTTCTAGAACTTGAGATACACTTTGGCTTCGAAAGAAAAACCCTAGTTAGTCAACTTTTATGACCTGTCATATGACCAGACCATCTCGTCTGTTGTTCTCTATTGAACTGCATTACAGACTTGCAAAAATGGAACAAAGGAGAAACAACACACTCATTCATTGTCATTACTAGAAATCAAAATACTCATCAAGGGAAAATACAAGGAATTGTGGAGAGAACAAACCAACAGTAAATATCCACAAAACCCAATCAGCAGACGCAACAGAAAGCAATATACAACAATCTGACCTGAGCACATGAAACTGAACTCAAAGAAGAACTGTGTGACTGGTTTTAAGTCTTGTCTTCTGATGTTTTCCTGTTTAATTGTATCTGGATTAAATCAGTTGGCATAAACAAAATTATGCTCACATTTTTCATGGATGCTGTTTGTTTATTCTTAACACAGGATGCCGCATACATGGGGGTCTCAGACAGCTGTATTATTCACACCACCCTCGGAGATTTGCATTGTAAAATCTTTGCAAAAGAGTAAGTATGGCTTGCTCTTGTAACCCTTCACTTTGTCTTTTTTATCAAAGCATAAGCAGCTTCTAACTAGCTCAGTGTCCCGTCTCTGTAGCTGATGCATTATGTAATATTTTCCCATGTGCAGCCCTAATCCTGCTTTTGCTGTAGCCACAGTGTCACCTTGCCCATTATTTCTAGCTGCCACCATCGTGCTCCCCTCCCCATTACTACCTTGCTACCATTTACAACATGGCTGCGGTATTTGTGCCTTTTGGATGACACATCCATCATCTGCAGGTATTTGTTACCCGGGTTAGCCTTCCCGGTTAGTGCCCGGCCGAACTATAAATGAAGATGCACATTGAAAGAATAACGTTAACACCTAATTTTGTACCATACACAAAATTTGTTAAAAAAGTAGAGAATATGGACTAGGACAAAATACCTACACAATGAACCCTTAGAACAAATAACAGGTTAACAAACAACCCTGTGTGGGTTTCAAGGCCCAGTTTTTTGTGGGGGGAAAGAACAGACTCACTACCTCCCTAACAGGCATGTTGTAAAAGGTGATTAATTATGGATTTGCTCACATCAGATTTATTTGGGGTGAAAAATCATAGCCTAGCTGTAAACCACAATGTGCTAACCAACCTTTTAAGGTAAAACACAGAAAAAGAATAAATTAACAAACAAGGAAGAAACATTGAAGTAAAATCATTAGACACGGTATTTGTTAAACGTTCATGATAGGCAACTATCTTTGAATATATTTTTACCTTTCTGGTAAACAGATGTCCCAAGACAGCGGAGAACTTCTGTGCTCACAGTCGAAATGGTTTCTACAACAATCACTTGTTTCATCGAGTCATTAAGGGCTTTATGATCCAGACAGGGGATCCTTTGGGTAAGCATTATATGTATGTGACTATGTTCTTCTTCTCTTTCTTCACTTCCTCTTTTACCACGTCCGGTGTTGAGGGAGAAATAAGGTTCTGCTTCTGCTCTTCTGGCCACCTCTACCACAGACACACTGTGCTGTTGTAGAGGTTCTCTGATATCTTTCCTTCTTGTTCTACCTTTTGCTGTTTCCTTCTCTTCTTTTGCTGTAGGCCTTGTATGGCGTGGTGTCACAAGTTATTCTCTCGAAGTGGGCAGACCATTTGATTTGCTGTTTTATATGTAACTTAGAACTGGTTCTGTGCCAGCTTTTCTTTTATGATCTAATTCCTGATTTGATCTTTTCTGGTCACTCCTGCAGCCCTTCTCAGACATCTCACTTCAATGGTTACTAATGTTCTTTTCTGATTTGTTGTGAATGACCATGTCTGGCACTGGTAGTATAGACTGGGGATGAATACGCTTTCTGTTTGTTTCTTTGTAATGATTAAATTGTCTTATGCTGTAAGAAGGGATTCTTTTTCTTAAAGTCCAGGCCATGTGGCATTGGTAGTCATATCTTTCCACAGCCTTCTGTCTCGTGTACTTTCATTCAACTCTGACACAGATGGTCTTCCATGCCATGATGTTCGACTGCCCAGCATCTTTTTTCTCGGTCTCCCTCTGTCTCTCCTCCCCTCCAGCTTTCCTACTTTCACGATATATTCCAGTTTTCTCCTTCTCTTCACATGACCAAAGAGTGCAGACTGTCTCTTTCTGATGTGGGCAATCAGTTCTCTTCTTGAGTCAGTTTCTTTCAAGACATCCTCATTACTCTTTTCTGCCCAGAGTATTCTCATCATTCATCTTTAAAACCACATCTCTGCAGCTTCGAATAATTTTCACAAACTTTTCAACTGTCCATGATTCACCTCCGTATATCAAGATAGGATTTATATAGCTTTTAAGAATTCTCTTTCTCGTCTCAGTTGACAAAGAAAGTGCATAAAATATTCTTCGTTTTGTAAAATACTGCCTTTGCTTGAACTATTCTACATTTATCTTCTTTAATATATCTTCCATCTGATGTTCTCAAGGTACCCAAAATTTAAACAAATCATCTTGTTTGAGGTTTGTTTCGCTTACTTTGATGTTCCATTTTAGTGGGTCATTTTTCTTTGTAATGACCATTACTTTGTCTGCTGTTTAAACTAAGATCCTTGTTCTCACTTTCCGTTACAATTATACCTATCATTTCTTGCAGTTGTGTTTCATTTTAACCGGTCCAAACTATATCGTCAGCATATCGCAGGTTGTTAACAATATGCTCACCAACTGATATTCCTGGCATACCAAGTATGGATCTAATTATTATTTTACTGTACACATTGAATAATTTTATGTAATTTAGAAATGGTTTTGTGCCAACTGTTTCTAATCATCATCATTATCATCATCATTTTCATCATCATGTGCTCTGCCAACTGGCGTAGGCACTCATGCGTCTCCACAGATCATGATCTCTTGATGATATCCCTCCATGCCATCGTTTTAGCCCATTCAACATCATCTCCCTTGGTCTGCCTCTACCCCTGTTTTCCACTGATCTTTCCAGTTGTCACTATGTTCTCCAAAGTCTCTCTTCTCATTATGTGGCCAAAGAACAGTGTTTGTCTCTGTCTTATTGTTGTATATAGAGATCTACTTTCATTTGCCTCTTTCTAATACACGAATATATTGTGCTTATCCAGGTAATGGTACTGGTGGTGAGTCTATATGGGGTGGAGAATTTGAAGACGAATTTCATCCCAACCTGCGTCACGACCGACCGTACACACTCAGCATGGCCAACGCGGGACCAAACACTAATGGATCACAGTTCTTTATCACTGTCGTCCCCACGGTAAGTGTTTCTTAAATTATTTCATTGGTACATTTTCGCCGCTTTGGTGTTACTTCTTGATGCTTGCCGGTGGGTCAAAAGGATGGAAGTTCAAATCCGCACAGAGCAGGATATTTTTCATGCATGATCTTGGCTCCCAGGTCGACACCAGCCTTATATGGGTATCTGGTAAAGACCTGGGAAGTAAAGGTGGCCGGCGGGATGTTGACCACATCACCCATCAAGGGCCGATTGGTCTAATCTCATATGCTCGATACGCTAATGGAATGTAAAGGGAACTTTACTTTTTTACTTTTACTGCCATCGTAAATACAAGGGAGATTATTCTCACAGTGAGTACAACTGAGATAATTCTCACATTATTTGTACCTACATTATTTCTATAGTTTGTGTTACTTAAATTCTTTCCACTGTATTACTAAAATTCTTCCCATGGTATATGTTACATAGATTATTCCTATACTGTGTGTTATTCAGGTTATCCCTACAGTAAATAAAACTTATATTTTTCCCTCAGTAAGTGTCACTTAGTTTTTACCTCCACCAAATGTTTTGAAAATTATTCCCACAGTATGTCTAAAATTATTCCCACAGTAAGTGTTGACTAATATTGTTCCTACAGGAAGTGTTGCTTAGCTCATTCCCACAATGTTGCTTAGATTATTCCAACAGTTTTACTTAGATTATTCCAACAGCCAGTGTTACTTAGATTATTCCCACAGTAGTTGTTACTTGGGTTCTTATATAATGTATGTTACTCAGATAGCCAAAGCTTTATTAAAAAAAAAAAAAAAAGAAAGAGAGAGAGAAAGGGTACTAAAAGACAACAAAAAATGGAGAAATTCTGTTTAATGCAGATAAAAAAAAGTTATGGGGAGCACCATTTCTAGAAGCAGAACAAAAAAAAAAGACCTTTGTCTAAAAGGCGGGGGAAAAAAAAGGAGATTTGTGTCAACAACAAAAAAATGGGCACATTGCTGAAAGCAGAAGAAGAAGAAAGGGATCCTCTCCAAAACAAGTAGATCATCACAGTCTGAAGAGAATGATGCTGTGAGAGTTAACAGGGGATCTGGCTGATGCTCAACACTCCTGGGTGAGGCAGACGTACAATCAGACTGTTACTGGTACCATCAGAATTGGTTCTCTGAGCTTGCTGCTGAAGATAGGTACAGAGAGCTTATGGGAATGTCCCTAGTGCCAGGGTTATGCTCCTAACTTATAACTCTAAAAGACAGGGGGAAAAAGATAGAGCTTGCATGTTGTATTTTAGTACCTCTTAGTATGATAAGTATTGCGTTGAACAGAATTCAAATCGTGGCTTGTGTCTGTTGCAGCCGTGGTTGGACAACAAGCACACAGTGTTTGGTCGGGTGGTCAAGGGGATGGAAGTTGTGCAGACAATCAGCAATGTCAAGGTCAATCCCAAAACAGACAAGCCTTACGACGACATCCGGATCATCAGCATCACGCTGAAGTGATGGGTTCCACACAGCAAATTTAAGGGGTCCATGATTATTTAAAAAAAAAAAAACTGAACGAAAGCAACCTTTTTTATTCAAATTTTAATATAGTGGGGGGGGGGGGGGGAGTTGGGAGGGGGGCGGGTTGGGAGGGGGGCATGACTGTTAACAAGTATAGGGTCCTATCGAAATTAAGAGGGGTCCATGGATCTTTTCTTATTAGGACCCACTGGTCTGTGCTATCTAGCAATGCGGGTGATTATGTTATATCTGGATTACGTGAAACTCAGAAATATGGGCTTGTTTGAAAGAAAGATGAAGGTGTGTATATGTGCCTGTCTGGAAATATTGTATGAATAAAGTAATTTTGTTATGCTGAAGAAATAGTGTGGGTTTTAAACTGAGTCCTTGCTGTGAGAATGTGTCTGTGGGGTGTTTGTGCATGTATGGAAAGTCAGTTATTAAAGTTGTATTACTGTATATTTTCACACATTGAATATCTTATAAGGAACAAAGCATTCATTTTGTGTAGGTAATCAGGGCACCACAGAGTGCAATGTTGTACAGATACAAAGGTAATAGAGCCAGAGGTTGACCACACAGAAGATGGACCGCAGAAATATCAGAGACACTATATACAAAGCTTAAAAAGTTAGTTGCATATCCTTTACTGGACATTGCAGAACCAACCCCAGCATTTTTTGGCTATTGTCATTTTTCTAGGCAAATTAACGTCCAGTAGTTTGCCATTGCTTTCTGGACGATTGGCTTCTCAATACCACTGTCAAAACCAACTCATGGCCTGCAGCTGGGATCAAACCCATCACCCCTGAATTTCAAAGAAAACTACCCGAAAAATCTCAAAATCATTCTAAGCTAACAGAAGGGAAATATCAGACACCGAAAAGTACTATATATTAAGCTAACAGAAGGGAAATATCAGACACCGAAAAGTACTATATATTAAGCTAACAGAAGAAAAATATCAGAGACCGAAAAGTACTATATACTAAGCTAACAGAAGGAAAATATCAGAGACCGAAAAGTACTATATACTAAGCTAACAGAAGGAAAATATCAGAGACACCCAAAAGTACTATATACTAAGCTAACAGAAGGGAAATATCAGAGACCGAAAAGTACTATATATTAAGCTAACAGAAGGGAAATATCAGACACCCAAAAGTACTATATACTAAGCTAACAGAAGGGAAATATCAGAGACACCCAAAAGTACTATATATTAAGCTAACAGAAGGGAAATAGAGACACCCAAAAGTACTATATATTAAGCTAACAGAAGGGCCTCATTCCAGAGATCCCTTCCTGCCCTGACACCGCTAGAGATTCCAGGAGCAGAGGGAAGAAGAATCAAAAGAGTGTCAGGCTGCTTCATACTGGCTTTCAAACCTTGCTGCTGAGAGGCTCAGTATACAGAAGTGAGGTTAAACAATCGAGAGCAGGACGTGACGATTTCTTGGGTGAGCCCAGTACTGGAGCTTCATGTATTGGCTCTGCATTTATGGAAGCCTTCTTGGATTTCAGGTAGCGCCCTTGAGGTCATAAGAGAAATAGTCGGCACAGAACCTGTTCTAAATTACGTACAAAGACAGTGAAAAAATGGTTTTAAATGGTTTTCTACACTTAAAGTGTTTGCCTTGAGATGATGTACCAAACAAGGCATACACTAAAAGAGGAAAAAGATGTAATTAATGAGGTAGACCAAGAACAAGATGGAAAGATAACATCAGAGCAACTATACAACAGCATGATATGTCTGTGGCCAGAAGACCAAGAAGCAGAACCTTATGTCTCACCACCTGAAGCAGTAAAAGAGGAAGTGAAGAAGACCCATTGTTCACTATTGGTAGAAGAAGAAAAGAAAAATATGTTGAAATACAAGAGGATCGACCTTATTGTACTTTTGTTTTCTCACATTCACCACCTGTAAACTCCAGAGGACAGTTCTGGTTATTTGTCTACTTCTGGACTTTACTTGTTCCAAAACTTGAGTTTCACATGCACATCCATTTGACACATCTGGCTTATCTGTAAGCAGACTGTTGGTTCCTCTCTTCTTAGCCAGATGAACTTCAACTTTGAAGGAAACAGCCCTAATTAGTTGACTTTTATGACATGCTTGTTGCGGCACAGTGGTTCTATTCTTTTTTCCTTACAAAATGGGGCATCAGAACCCATACAAGGACTTCATTGCCTTGAGTTTTATCTATCTACAAAGCAGCTGGTTAATGACTGCAAGCACCTCCCAGAGTGAAAACCTTTCTCTCCAGAGATGTTCCCTAAAGGAGCTCTGAAACCCCTGTTCTTCATAACCGAAGAAGATAATTGCAAAATCAAATTTACAACCTTCAGACTGCAAGGTAAATGGGTTAAAGATGAAAGACTACAGTGCAGACTCTTCAAATTAAAATAATTAGCATTTCCGCCTTTGAGGCCTGTAAAGCATATGGTGACAGTCCCATATTTTTTAGACCAATCAGCATTCATAAGGGAGATGATACCATGATGTAGCAGCTAGCTGCTCACCTTGGACCTGAAGGTTGAAATCCTAATTGGGCTGGATTTTTCAAATGTGACCTTGGCTCCTACTTTGACTTGCTGTGCGAAAAAATTGGCACATTTAGCCGGCATCTCCCAAAGGGGGAGCTTTTGGTTATAGTTGTGACTAGGTTTATGTGGGTCATATAAAATAGCTTTGCTCCATCAAGTAGCCCTAAATAAAACTCTCTTGCAGTGTTGATGCGATCAAGAGAGACAGACCCATATACTGTCCTGACCGGCGACGAAGCCATCTACCGGCCAATCAATAGGCCACCCGGTCGCCGATGCCTTGGCTCCTAGGTTGACCCAGCCTAAAATTAGTACCAGATAAAACCATGGGAAGTGAAAGCGGCCTGGGTGATTTTGACCGCATCACCCATCGAGTGCTGATTAGTCTATTAAATATAAGTCTATCAGTACATGCTCAGTATAGCCTTAGCTCCCAGATGGACCCAGTCTTACATATGTGCCAGGTAAAGTCATAGGAAGTAAAAGCGATCGGTGTGATGTTAACCACAGAGGGCAGATTGGTCTATAAAATATGTTTAGCCTCATGTGCCCGATGTGCCACTGGCAAGTAAACATACTTATTGCTTTATTTATTTATTTGTGTATGTTTCTCAACTGTGTGACCAACACACCTAACAGCAAAAAGGTCCTTTACTTTAATTGGCATTTATTAGGCGATGCGAATATTTCCTAGTACTCATTTTAGGCTGGGCCACCCTGTGAGGAAAATTCAATTTTTTTTAAATCGGCTTCGGTGAGGAATTGAATCTTTGTTTAGTGGGCTTGCAGGCAAGCTTGTTAGCCACTTCACCACAATGGTCCACGGGGAATGTCGTCTGCTACTGCTTTTTTTCATTCTCCTTGAAAGTGGTTTTCAGAGGTGGCTACATGCCTCTGTGAAGTCTTTAGTATGACGCATGTTTTCCACTCTTCCATACAGATTGGTTTGCATTGAAATGCCAAACCTGGGATACCTCTACTGCAGATAGAGAGCATGTTTGTAGCATGTGTTGTTTACTTCGGTGCCTGCCCACATGGGTAAAGTTCTGGATCCTCAGTCTTGAACTTCTTGTACGCATGACTGCAGAGTCAAAGGCTTTGTGTAAACTTATTCTACGATCATGATACAGCAGATTAGGCAGGCTCTGTACGCAGATAATAGATTGACTTCCTGCAAAAGTCAACCGTGCGTGAGAGTCCATCTTTTTTCTCAGGGCACACAGCAATTGTTGACAATAAAAGAGCTGATAGATTGGCTGGCACTGACATAGTTGCAGATGACCGACCTATAGATTGTGCTAACCTTGTTAATGCTTTCAGAGAAAAACAGAACGATCAGAGGATTTTTCAGCAGCATGTCTATATTGCTGCTAAGAATGCGAGAATAAGGAGTAAGGATCAGCACAGCCAGGCATGAGAGGCACACCTGACAAATTATGAAGTCTTGTCAACCAGCATGGGAATGGCACTGTTAACTGCAGGGCACTAATAATATGTTGAGGGGAAATCTGAAGTGTCATGAAAATAACTCATGTGAATGATACAAGAACTGGCAACACTGCCCTCAAGACATTCCCACATGTGGTCCGTCCTCTTCTTCAGTAGCAACAAAGAGTCGACATGCTAACAGTTGCAGCCTGATTAAAAGTCCGGCCTATTCCCCCTCAGTGTTGACTATCTTCCAGAACCTCTACTTACTCCCTGTTGAATTAGTCTTTCAGTGTATAGATTCTGTTAGTTCTATTGCACTGTCCATTTATCCCATAGAGCCTTCACCATGTCCGCCTTATCATAAAGTAGCTCACCGCCCAGAGGAGCCGCAGCTGCTGATCTATCAGCCTGCTCATTACCCCCCACACCGAAATATCCTGGACAGAAAATGATGTCTAAATGTAACTATAGCCGTGGTTAATATCTTTGACTTAAATGTCATGTAATTGTTTATTTGTACAACAGAAATTATAAACATTTGCACAACAGATTGTTAAAAATCTATACTATAAAAATAGGTGGCAATATATACATCTGAAACAAATAACACCATTAACAATATTATGTATAAATTACCGATCTCTGTTTCTTTGATAAGTAAAAAAACGCAAGATAGCCTAGGCCATCTTCAGTGCAGGATAATCAAGAATGATTGCTGGGATTTCAAACTGTTATTATAAGAGATGTTGTCACGTTCAACCAGCATCCCCAAAGGGGAGCTTTTGGTTATAATTGTGACTAGGTTATTTGCGCCATATAAAATGGGTTAACATTGCTCGCTTGGAGCTGTTGCTGATGATGAAGTATGTAATGGATATACTTGTGTTCTTAAATGTTTAGAAAAGTTTAAAGTCTCTTGAGACCATGAGGCTTAAAACACCAAACTCCAGCTGTAACTCTGGACACGGTTTAGAAGATGTGGCATGAGATCAGATACCATCTAGACATTACCAGAG